ACTATCATTCTCTGTTATACGTAATATACGTACGTACGTACGTACAAATTTGTTGTAAATGTTACAGTATGCGCGGCATCATGCATCCCAATGAGCATTGCGCAACGTAGTACATATTTCTTCAATAAATTTAAAGTTTTCGAGCACATTCTTTCTTGCGGCAATATGTCAAAATTTAAAAATATATTCAAAAAGAAAGCAAAAATAGGCAAGGATTCATCAGATATTATTCAAATAGCTAACAATGTTGCCCAATTAGATTTAGGTGATAACGAGTCCCAGGATTTTTCACAGGATTCTTTTAATGAAATTGTTAACGAAATGTGTAATCTGTTTAACGAAGAATGTTTGCAAAACAAAAGTTACACATCAATTCTTGACACATTAGAACAATTTCTAATAAAGAAAAAGCAAAATCCAGATATTATCAAATTTTGTTTAAATGATCAAGTCAATCCTATAATTCAAATCATTCTCGGAATTTGTTATTATTATGGTAAATGGGTTGAAAAGGATGACTATAAATCGTTCATGTATTATAGAAAATCTGCAGAGATGGGAAACGCGCAAGGAGCATTTTCTGTTGGATTAGATTATAATAAAGGAATTGGAGTTGAACAGGATTTAAATAAGGCATTCATTTATTTTCAAAAATCAGCAGAGATGGGGCATGTGCCCGGAACATATAATGTTGGAGCTTATTATCAATATGGATTTGGAATTGAAAAGGATGAACATAAGGCATTCATATATTATCGAAAATCAGCAGAGATGGGGTACGCTAATGGAATGTCAAAAGTTGCAGAATGTTATCGAAATGGAGCTGGAATAGAAAGAGATCTGGATAAAGCTAAATACTGGTACCAAAGGTATTTTTGAGTTTAAATTTGTGCAGTAATTTGTACTAATGTTTAGTGACGCATCGCAATTCAACCATAAGATCAGGTGTAATTAAAATCAAAAAACGTATCAGTTTAGAGTCAGGGCTAGAACTAAAATAAGGTTAGAACAATGGCCTAAAAAAGTGATTTCATAAGAGAAATTTAAAGTTAACCGATTTTAAGTAAAAAAAATCGTTTACTGTACATCTGATCTCGGTATTATATGAAATGGTAGATCTGCGGTGCACGTCACCAAAGTAACATTATGATATTAATTATATAACAGTATTTATAATATATACTTACTTAATAACTTCATACATTTAAAATCGCCGATTAGGGCAAAAGATTTAACATTAGGTATTATATCATCGGGTGGTGCGCATTTCACCGACAATCACTTCACAGACAACTTAGTTTACCGACAATTAATTCACAGACAAGTTCATTTCACCGACAATTATTTCACCGACAACATTTCACCGACAAAATAATTCTGGTCATTGTTGTTAATGTCAAGTTAGAATTAGAGTTAAGGTTAGTGCAATTTATAAAAAATACTTGTCGGTGAAATGAGCTGTCGGTGAAATAATTGTCGGTGAAATGAACTTGTCTGTGAATTAATTGTCGGTGAACTAAGATGTCTGTGAAGTAATTGTCGGTGAAATAATACGTATCCATATCATCATAGTTAATTTTCATAAATTATATTGTTTATTAATTAATTTATTTATTGGCTAACTTTATAAAAATCGATAGCTACAAGTGAGTGGATACATAATTCAGAAATTGATGATGACTTGAAAAAAATCTTGATGGAAAATAAATATCAATTATCTTGGATTTCTTATGATGAATTTAGAAATATTCGAAAAATAGGCAGAGGTGGATTTGCAACTGTATATTATGCTGAATGGTATGATAAAAGTCAATGCATAACCAAATATGTTGCAATTAAATTACTTCATAAATCAAATAATTATCACGAGGAATTTATAAGAGAGGTAATTTTTTAAAGATTTTTTTAATAGCTATGTTGTTTGTAATTTATCATTTTAATTAATTATTCGGATACATGTTTCATTTTAATAATAAGTTAAAAGCATATTGTGATATTGGCCTTAAAGATCCAACATTTTTAAAATGTTTCGGTATATCAAAAGACACAACTTCTAAAGATTATATCCTCGTCATGGAATATGCTGAAGAAGGTAGTTTGCGCAAAAATCTAAATACTATAGCACAAATGGATTGGAAGGATAAATTAAATTTACTGCAATGTATTGCATCAGATCTTCAGATAATTCATTCTCATGATCTTATTCATCGTGATTTACATAGTGGAAATATACTACAATACGATTTGAAAAGCGCGTATATTGCAGATTTAGGACTTTCCATTACAGCTAATATTGCTTTAAAATCAAAATCTGATAAAATTTGTGGAATATTACCATATATTGCTCCTGAAGTTTTGAAGAATCAACCATATACTAAAGCTTCCGATATTTATTCATTTGGTATAATCATATGGGAAATTTTATACGGTAAACCCGTACCTTTCGAACAAAAATCAAAATTACAATCTAAATTACAATTCCAAATACAAGTTTGTAATGGTTTACGACCACATATTTATGAAAATACAGCAAATTGTTATGCTAATTTAATGAAGAAATGTTGGAATATAGAACCAAAAGAACGACCAACAATAACTGAAATTTGTGCCGTTTTTGAAGAATGGCAGAATAATGAAAATATTTTATCAGAATTAACTGAATCTGATAAAAAATTACAAAATATAAAAAATGAAGATATGCAAGTATATGATGTTTCACAATATAAAAGTAGCTTTATTTCTTCTAAAACTGATTATAAAGGTATTTCTAATTTTGGTTAAATAATTATATTACGTATTCTATATTATTGTAATGTTGATAATTCTTTTTATAGATAGTAAATTATATGAATTGGAAATGCCGGATATTGATGAATAAAAGCCTCCTCCAATTTTGGAACAAACATATGGTAGAAGATATTACGCTTTACTAATAAAACTACAAAGAATTATTTATATAACAATCTCATACTGATAAGTATAAATTTGAACCCCTTCATATTGATACCAATTCTTTACATTTTGTATAAAATATTAAACTCCTTGATGAATTTTTGAATAATAAATTTTGAATATGCTACTTTGCTATTTCTGTATTTATGATGCACAAACTTTATTATAGGTCTTTACCTTTAAAATCACCTTCCGACATTTTCAATCAGGCTAATTCGGACAAAAACAAGTCTTTTGCCTTTATTGATTCAATAATTTATTTAATAAACTATTGAATCAATGATGATAAAAGATGATTGCATATAAACATAAAATCGTTACTGGGGTTTGGTTTTGTCCGAATTAGCCCGATTGGAGATGCTGGAAGCAGTGTTAGAGATTTAATGTTCCCAATGTTCCCAGGAACATTTTAAAAAAATTTAGGAACACTAGATTTAGAATTTATGTTCCTTTTTAGAAATAAAGTGGGGACATAAAAGTAATAATCTGTGTTCCTATAGTGTTGGTTTCCTTTAGCTATAGCGTGACATGTTCTTATATATATATATATATATGAGAGAGATGATGTTTTACAAATTTGCATAGAGTTGATGTTTTGTAAGATAGTTTACATAGTGTATGGTTCATAAACTTTGGACTTTCAATATCAACAAGCGTAGCATTAAAGGTAAAACGTCATGGGTTTATGTAATTATAATTACTCGTTCGGAGAAATTTTATATGGACAACCGTGTTTATAATCAAGAATTTGGGATAAAATTAAAATAAAAAGTATGTAATAATACCAACAATTATTGAGAACACACCACAATATTACGTAAAAATTATGAAGGAATAAATCAGAAGGGAAGTTAAAACATATTAAAAGAATATGTTTACAATAAAGGCAATTTATTAAATACACTAATACATTACTTTATCGAAGTGAACATAATATTTTTTTAGCAAATAACCTTTTAATATTAATTAACATTATTTAATAGACAGCGCATTGAATGATTGAACATCATATAAAATGTAGATTTTAAAAAATAGAATTTTCATAATTATTTATTAATCCTATTCAAAAGATTTAAATAATTCTATATTGGTAGTTATTTAGTTATTACTAAAGTTTTGTGATCTTTAGATAATTGCAATTTTTGATATTTTTTAGCGCTTTAATTATTAAGCATGATCTTGTGATCTAATAAAAGGTCAATAAAATAAACTTTGAAAACAACGAGGCCATGAATAACGTAAACGTTATTGACATTTAGTGTTGACAATTAGCTTAAGCATATATAAAATATTTGAGTTAAAGTTTTGAGAGTCAGGCAGTCAAGATTTATGTGACGTATCATAATATGCTGTGTCACTCGATAGTGCAATCGCATTAAATGATCTTTAAAGTAAATGAGAGATTTATTATAATCGGATTAGGTAACTAAGCCCATCATAACCTTGAATACTATAGTAAACTTTTATATTAGATGTATATTTATACAAAAATTTATATAAATAAAATTTTGAAAAATTATCAAATGTGCCATTTTAATCCGACTTTTAATACGAGGGCCTCATATGTGAGACACGTGGTAAATTCAATGTACTCTGAAAGATGAAAAAGCAACACTTTTTCATTAAACTTTGTACTCTTTATCTTGATTTCACATAATTATGACGGATTCAGTTTTTTAAAATTTGTAGTGATCTATTAAGAAATTAGAGGTTTTATTATTTTTAAAATAAATAATAATAATAATTATAAACGTTTTAATTGGTTTAATAAAACAACTTTGGATTTTACTACTTAACTCTCTAGGGTTATTTAATAAAATATAATAATTTGAAAAAAGGACACATAATAATAACAATGTAATATCTAACAAAAATTAGAAATTTAATAATTTGCTTATATATTGACATTATATTATTAGCACTTATTATCATTAATTACAGTATTACATTTTACAAATTGTTTTTGCAAAAATTGTTCAAATTTTTGTTTAGAAAGTTCAATTTGTTTTTTGACCCCTTATGTTGGAAATTGTTTATTATCTACACTTTTATTTTGGTTGTTGACAGATATCTGTAAAATTATTAGATAGTAAGAATTGGAATCCACACTTAATCATAATACTTCCAGGGAGTTGTATTAGTTGAGATTCATCAATATTAAGAAGTCCAAGTAAAAGAGCTTTGGTATCGTTATGAGCTGGAGTGCTTATGAATGGAATAATTTCTAATGCAATTACTCTAGATATTCTTTGATTGCATTCAGTGCACAAAGCAGCGGGAGAGCCGAAAAGGACTTTATCAAGTCCTTTTTTAAGAATAGGAGGGTTTGGATCTTGTAAGTTATCTATTATTCCTAAAGTATCGGCAAGGCAGAAACTTGAGTTTGTGCTATCATTGAAACATAAAATTTCCATGAGTTGGGGATAAAGTGAAACGACAGTAAGTAAAGCCGGTGGAATCATCTGTTTGTTTTGAATATCAGCAGCGCAACCTTGAGAAATGAGATCTTTTCCTAATTTAAGTATAGTGTCGTTACAACGGGGGACTAAAAATTTCATAATTAATTAATTAGCTGAATATTTATTAAATAGCGGCCTACTAATTAAGTTAAGGTATAAACACCTGGGCATATTTGACCAGCGAATTTGTTAATACCAGTGGTATTAAGGTTGGCCATAAGAGCAATAATATCATTAATTGGTAAACACGCAGAAGCGTTCCCAAAGAATGCTAAAATAGCATCTTGACAAGGAACAGTAAGATTGTTAAGTATATCAAATGGTGATCCAGATAGTGGTTGTATTTGCAATTGATTTATAGGTGGTAATGTATCTTCAGTTGAAGGAGGTTTTGCTAATCCCAAGCCCACTATAGCCAAGATAAGAAGAATGGTAAATATTTTCTTCATCTTGTGCGAATTATATTATTATTATTAAAAGATTATTAATATTATTTTTATCACGTTATAAAAATTGTTATTCTTATAGTGCCTCTTAATGTAATGTTAACGCAAGGTTATAGGACTTATTAAACTGGCAAATTTTATCTTGTTTATATATTTTTTAATAAAATTTTTAATGACGTTAATATTTTGCTAATCCTCATCAAATTTCAGTTTTCTTTTCTTATTTAGTTCCAATATAAACTTTAAACTAAACTTTTATTATATAATAAAGAAAAAAGTTACCCTTTTACTATATTAATGATTTTTATCTCATGAATTTAATATATATAAAGTAAATCACTACATATAAGATACTATAATTTTAAAAATATGTGTTTAAAAAATGTGAAACCCGTGATAAAGAAAAGATTATGTACACAGTTAAATTAGTGACCGGTAATCGTTCGCTGTTTACAAATGATGATATGTCTTGGATCAATACAATCATCTGATTGTTGTCTGATTGTGTGTAATTGTTTTTGAGAATATAGGTGCTATTTTGTGGATATGGATACAAGAAAGTATGTCATTTTTTTATAAATGTTTTTTTTTAATTCGGAATTTAGATGTGAGCTTATAAACCATATGGGATCTTTGCTATCAAAATGACCCTCCGAGGCTATGTTGATCTTATGAATAAAAATCAAAATTTCTAGCCATCTAGTTATCCAATTTGAATGAATTTTTTTTTAATTTGTAGATTCTATTGAGATTTACAAAATAAAAAAAGTTTATTCAAATTGGATTACTAGATGGCTGGCAATTTTAATTTTTATTCACAAAATCAACATAGCCTCGGAGGGTCATTTTGATAGCAAAGATCCCATATAAAAACGTCTGTTGAAAATCGGGCCGGAAATTGTCACATGCAAACGGCATTATACCATGAGATTTGTGCCCTGGTCGTAATTTATAAAGATATTTTATTTGTATTCAATTTTTATTAAGAAAATCACTTTACTAATGATACGGGCCGATGAAAAATCTCGGGTCAGGGCCGGCCCGGGCTAACCAGCCTTGGGGCAGCTGATCAGGGCTGACCTTTCTATGAATGATTTTGAATAATTCTGAACGATACTCAACCTTTCTCACTCTTTAAACATCGATTGAAAGTTATTCAGGTTCGATTCGATCTTTTTTTCTGATGTTCTGTAGAATTGGCGGGAGGGCAAACTGTGCCAAATATCAATATTGCCCACCTATCTATAGAACATCCCAATGTTGTCTTATAATATACATTCCGAAGATACCCGGCTGGGCCAGCTCGTATCACTAAGCAGCATTCGTATTATACTACGTATCCACGTGGGACCACGCGTGGGATTCCGCGTGGATCACGCGCATCGCCCATCACTAATCACACCCTAGTGTCAAATGAAAAGGCTCACCTATAATAGACTTAATCCAAACTTTCGTACAAATAAACACACCAAACATTTTGGACGAACGTTTGAAACGAAATTTGATAATATTGACATTTTGTTATAAAGATTGTAAAATAATAATTATAATACAAAAATAATACGGATCATGTTGAATTCATAAGCTTAATCGAACCGGCCGAAAAATCATTCGGCCAATTTTTATCAGGTGTCCCAAAAATTATGATAATAGTTGTAAAATACTCTTAAATGTCTGATTAATATAGCTAAACTTTCTTTGGCCAATAGAAATGAAAGAATAAGGCGAAGTAATATAAATGTGGCTGTGAATTTTTTTTTTTTTTTGTTATTTGGTTTTTTTCGATAAACTTTTGATGCTAGGGTTTTTAATTTATATTCGATGCGGGAACATATGATTTTACATTTTTCAAAAAAGTGTGAACAATGATTTCCATATACCCAAGGAAATCAGGAGATTAAACAGTAAAACATCAGAAATCCGTTTCCCTAATTAATCAACATCCCGATTTCCCACGGAATATGAATGAAAAATGGCTATAATCTATAATGTAAACAGATGGGTTTTTTGCCTTGAAAATCACGTTATGAGACATAGTCCCATAATATGATTTTCATGGCAAAAACCAGAATAATATTTTGTTTCGACGCCATCGTTTTGTTGTTTTTTTTTTTTTATAAATTTAAACTAATTATTAAGGTTTGCAAAAAAGGTGAGACATCTGCAGATCATAATGTATAATTGACGAATTTCCGATTTTAAGAGCTCAACGAATATAAAAATACGGTAGAACATATAATTGATCAATAGACAATCTAGAATCTCCAAAATTTCCATCGATCATCATCAAAAAATCAAATCAAGGTCGGTCGGCCGGGCCGATGTTTTTTATCGGCAGGGTCGGCCCAGGGTTTTAACATCGGCCCGTATTACTAGTTCTGATGTGCGTTCATTTTCTATTATGATCGCCTGAATATTGCTAATAATTACTCAATAAATTTTCGTTTACAATAAGGAGAACGAACTCGGAAGCCTCAAATTATGATTATGTAATTTGTTAGGATCAAACTATTGTACCTCCTTTCCAATATTAATGTTTAAACCCCAAAAATATCAAATTTTATGATAAAAGAATAAAATCATACACTATTCAGTAAAATCATGAAATTATGCGTAGAGATGTGTGTCATGAGAAATATAATAATGTAATTAATAAAATGTACATCAAATAAAATACATATTTTTTTTTTTTAGAATAACAAATTAATTAATTGTATCGCTATTTATGTTATACGTCAAATTAAAGTTTGCGTCAAATCAAAATTTAAATATGAATTTAGTTACATCGGGGAATTTTTTTAGTGCAGCTCTGTGCATAAATTAAATGAAAATCTGTGCAAAACTTCAAACCTGATAACTATAAATGCGTTAAATTTTAAAAAATTTTGTAGATTTTTTGTAAAAAATCTGCAAAAATACATAATTTTTACAGATTTACACTTATTTAATTTTCCAGATGTAGATAGAAAGCCCATATTACATAAGAGTAGACATTAGTGGCATTGTAATTGTTTTAATCAGACGCAGATATTAATTTGACGAAAAAGGAACGAAAATGACAATTTTTTCAAACTAAATTTTTTTACATAAATTAATTTAGAATCTTTTTTCACTTAAAACACAAAAGTAGTTGTGTTAATAAAATTTTGCAGTATAGCTCTTTAAATTTTGTATTTTCTTATAATCTATTATAAAATTTATAACACAAAAATTGATTTTCTGAAGATCTTTTGTTTTGTCGATTTCGTTCCTTTTTCCAGCACCTAGCCCATATTAATATGAATTTGAATTTTTGTATTTTCGCAAATATGTGGTCATAAATAGAGATGGGCAAAATGGTACTTTTTCATATAATGCATGCGCATGGTATGCTGCACGCACGCATGCATGCATGCATGCATGCATGTTATATGCAGCGTAGCTAAAATTTATTTTTATAAGATAAAAGAGTAAAAATATGTAAATATAAGAACTATAATAAATAAATAAAAATATCAAAGCAATTTATTTATATAATATTTGTTCTAATTCTAAGTTTCCTTATAGCAATGTATAGTACCCGGCGTGATATAGAATTTTTTACAGTAACTCACGATATAAACTATAATAATTCCGATGCAAACTAATTCAACCACATATTGTGATTATTAGAATAGCGAGCAAAGGTTTGTATGAAAAAAATTTTAAAGCGATTTATAATATAAATAAATCACAGTAATTTCAAATGCAAACTCAACCTTAACTGTGTATTATGTATGTAATAGCATTTTTTATAGTAATTCATGAAAGAAATTACAATAATTACCGCACAAGTAACATTGCCATGGATCATTACGTTCAGCCACGAATTATTATTTTACTTTCTCACACTAAACGTTTTTATGAATGCTAAAAAAAACCAGGAGTCACACAAAACAATATGGTTTGTTGTTTAATACTTCAGAAGAGGTAGAATCCGTATCCGAAGCTGAATCATCCTTAGAAACTGTTTCTAAATTATTCGACGCCCTTGACAAAAAAAAAAATTATTATTAAATTATTATATTTCTAAATAAATATGCGAATAACACCTCTTTGTATTCAATACCATCTTTATTTGCAACTAATGGATTCATAAAAAATGGAGAGGCAAGATATTTTTGTTGGAATAACATATTATAATTAGTGAAGGCGGTAAATGGAGCAACAGGGGCTGCTGATGTTGATACTTCGCCAGAATATTTTCGATAATTCACGGCATTTGCTTCTTGTTTAACGGTTGGTTTTGTTTTTTTATTTTTCGCTTTTTTATTTTTATTTTTTATTTTTGACGAATAATAAAAGAACCGCTCAAGTACTGATTGCAATGTTTATTTCAATTTATTCTATTAAATGAGCACCATTACGATCACTAATTAATCACATCGAAGATGCTTGAGAAGATTTCAATTACGTCATAAATTACATATCGAATTCTCAGTAAAAATTTTATGTAAATATAATTTTGCTTGAGTACCATTGCGATCACTTGCTAATCACATCTAGATTGGCGCTTGAGAACACCCTTAGTCTTATCTTTTTAAAGCTCAAATTCTTGAGAATTGTAGTATTATGTATTTTGTATTGTCAGAAAAACTTTAAATTTTGTAAACCTTCATTTCTATTCTTAAGTAATAATGTTTGTCTTCAAATTAGCATATCATACTTCAGTTTATTTCAATAAGTAATCGAATATTTACGCTTATGAGAATCATCAAATTCTCTCTTCACTCTAAACTATTAGGCTCTGCTCAACTATTTATTCTACCAGAATTAAGTGAAATGCATAATGAATAAATAAATTAAGGGTAAGTAACAAAATACATGCCGGAGAAGTAGGTTGTTAGTTTTTTTTAGCAAAGATAATTGTACAGATTTTAAATTATTTAGAGGAATTTGTTATACAACCCATTTAATTTTAACAAATGCTTATCTGTTATAAAGTTGCTCTATCAAACTATGCTTACTAAACTGTAAAGTTATTGATAGAGTTGTCATTCTTTTGCTATAATTGAACATTATTTAAGCCAATTTGAAAATATGCAAATTACTGTTCAACAAATGATTATGCAATAGATAATATCATTTTATTTAGATATGTACGTACGTACTAAAATGGTTTATTTGAAACGACCATATACACTATTCTCATCCAAGTTTTTTAATATTCGCTTCGTAAAATTCAACTTCTGAACTCTCAAAGCTTTCTATTGATTTAACGAACCTTCTTGAAAAAGCAGATGAGTATAATGTATTAATTGAAGTTGTTCAGACTCCAAATAGTAAAACATTTAAGGCCCATTCTATTATTTTAAAAACTTGTTGCCTCTATTTTCAGGATGAATTAATAAGAATATAATAGGATGAGAATCATGTCAAAAAGATGAAAAACCACATATTTCTTCTATGGTTTTTGAGGTGATTATCAGGTAAGATAAAATTAGTCAATTAAAGTCCCTAATAAGTTTAATATAATGTGACCAGCTGCATTCTTGTGACTGGACATAATATATACAAGACGGTGTTGGCCTATGAATTGTTATAACTTAATGGTTAAATACAGGTTATGTTTTTATGACCTACAGTATCTTGACACTGTAGCGTTGTGATAATTTTTGTCATATTGCTTTGGTTATGACCGAATTAACAAAGATTAAATGGCATACATTTTTAAATTATATTTAAATTATTTAGGCGGTTTGAAGTTACAATTTCGTTTAACGTTCTCCCCCCACTGCCTCCAATAGCTCCCCCTGAAATTAAACAAGCCAATCAGAACGCCCGTTACATCTTTAAGATTTCAATAAATCATGTGACCACAAATCAACCAATAATAATGGTGATTTTTTGAGGTGTTATATAATGTTTGTTTAATTTGGCCCCCTCCCCCACTGCACTTAAGCTTCGAAAGGAACGTTAAACGAAATTATAACTTCAAACGGCCTTATTTAAATTATTTATTTAAATCACATACTAACACATTAATATTCAACTTGATAATGTTTATGCACCGATAGTGTTTGATATCTTGGTTGTTGCTAATGAATTTTGTCTTGAAGAGCTGATTAATCGTGCACAATCACAATTAATTCAAAAGAACTTTATGCAAATTTATAAGATAAGCTTTGATAATGATAATTTCAAAACTTGCAACAGTTTTGTAATAAAATCGTAGAAAATCCAAAGATATTTTAATTCATAACTCTCCCAGAAACTCCCTGTCAAAACTTGTTAATTTACAAATGGGCTAAGGCGAAATTTGGGATAATGTAATTAAATGGGGAATTGCTCAAAATCCTGATTTGAATTTCAATCCCGAACAATAGTCCGATGTGAATTTTTTAATTTTGAAAAATGCTCTCATAATTGCTTACCTCATATTCGGTATTTTCACATGACTGGTGGTGATATTATGGGCCATCACGACAATTAAGCTAAAATTTGGTTATTAAATCCGAGTATTTAGTCCTCAAATTAAGTTTTAGTCATCAAAATTACATATTAATAAATCAATGCCAAACCTGAAAAAAAAATTTTTTTTTGATTTCTGATTTAGACTGCCAACGCGTCTAACTCATCTTCACCTTTTTAGACATAAATTTATTATAACAACGCACCCTAACCGGGGAAATATTGATTGTCTCAGCAAAAATCTATATTTACATATTAGTAGTCAAATTTTTTCAAATTTTGGGATATTTATAAATTCGTCACAATGATCAGTATTAATCAAATAAATTATATATACAAATCCTTGCCAATTAATATCAACACAGATTTTAGTTTGTTCAATACTTTTAATCTTATAAAATCAATTTAACTTAATCTATATTTTTTTTGCTCTCTTAATATTATGCTTATTTACAGTATAAGAGTTACGCAAAGGAAATACAGGCATATTATTGACATTCTAATATTTATGGCATATTAAAATTTTAAAATTTCTAAGTCTAAATCTTTTTTGACAACTGAATTATTTATAATTCTGTGAATCAAAATAACTTTGATTATTTGAAATTACTCAAAGAGAAAATATTTTAGACGCCCATGTGCACATCTTATTAGTTGGAATATTAAGTTTAATTTTGTCGGTTTTCCAAGAATTGTTTCTAGTCAAGCCAATGACAATTTTATGAATAATAACAGTTATCCTGGGCCGTTCATTCTGATCCATCCTCTTATCGAATTCTGATCTTTTAACTAACAATTTTTACCGAAACACTGGTATTAGATTTATCATTAAATGCTTTTCTTCTAGTTAATATCTCAAAAATAATGACACTAAAATTAAGATATCACAAATTGTGTGAATCTTCATGTAATTATATCGAAAAAAACCCAATGTGCTCAAGAAGATGTGGATGTGTCTTAGCAGGCAATGCGAATATTGCATGTAGTTAGATAGATTTTTGATCAAATTTATATATACAAAATTCAGGTTTTAAAATTTCAAATGCGTTTTAATAAAATTTTTTAATTTAAAATTTATACCGGTTGAAAAATGACACATGTCATTTTCATATTAAAAATGACATGCGTCATTACAATTAACTTAAAATGAGAAATGGCGCATAATATGTCCACGTCTCATTTACTATATACTAACATAAATTAAATGATTTCTTTTAAATTAAATTTTATTGTTCCATTCAACAGTTTTGGGTAAAAAAAAAAAAAAAACGAATAACATAATTTATAACTCATAAATCGTCAGGAATTTCAAGCAAATTAGATAAACTATTTGTTATCTCTCGTGAATTGAGAGGTTTGCTGACGTATATGTCATTCGGATGTTTTGATGATTCAATAATAGGTTTAATTTTATCAGCTTCTAAAAATTGTCTTTTTATTTTATTTTCATCATCAGCGTTTTCTATTTCTTCCATCCAATAAGTAATTAAACCATTGATAGATCGTATAGTAGGTCGTCTTTTCGGGTTTGAATCCATGCATTGCGTGGCTAATTCAATATAGCAATTAGGTGCACCAGATATAAATTCTGGTCGTGATCCATGACAAATTTTTATTGCGAGTCCGTCAAAATTATACCCATCGAAAGCTTTTCTTCCACTTGATATTTCTGTCATAATGATACCCAAAGCATAAATATCAGCTGCTTGAGTATATGGTTCTCCTTTTAAAATCTCTGGAGCTACATAAGGTAAAACCCCATATAATTCATTTTTGGTATTAGAAAGTCCCAAATCTGTAATATAAGCATTATCCAAATCGTCTTGTAAAATATTTCCACTATGAAGATCTCGATGTTCTAATCCTTGTGAATGAATTGCTTCAAGATCCGACGTTATACAACTTAATAAATTTAATTTTTTTTTCCATTTAATTTGTGACACTTCGTGAAGATTATTACGTAAAGATCCCTTTTCGGCATATTTAAATATAAGGACATAATTTCCTGAATCGTCTCTTGATAGTCCGTAACATTTTAAGAACGATGGATTTTTAGATCCGATCTCGCAAAATGCTCTTAACTTTTAAAAAATATTAGCTATAAATTTAAATATTTAATAACAAAACATAATGAATTTACCTCGTCGAAAAAATCCTGACCATGAATTTTTTTAACTGCGAACGAATATTTATCATAAGAATCTTTATAATTAATTTGACATTTAACATGATAAACCGTTGCAAATCCACCCTTTCCAATCTCTTTAATATTTTCAAATTTATTATATGGAATCCATAATAATTGATACTTCTCGTCATCCAATATTTTTTTCACGTTGTCATCAATATCAAAATAAGCGAATTTCTCTATTTCTATTTATTATGAATAAATCAAATAAATGTAAAATTTGGCAAAATAAAAAAAAAAAAACCAAAAATACCTTGAAATTTATTTTTTTCCCTATATTATAAATAAATCTTTAGTATCTTACATAATTATTTTATGAAAAAAAATACTTACATACGAAACCAATACTCGGCCTCTTTTAAATCTTTTTTGGTTCCAGTACCATTTCTATAACAATATCCAACATTTTTTATTCCACCAACGTCGTCTAGTTTAGCACATTTTAAATATAATTCAAAGGCTTTTTTTAAATCTTTTTTAACTCCAATTCCATTCTGATAGCACTCTCCAAGATTATAAATAGCATTGATTTCCCCCATTTCTGCAGCTTTTTGACAATAGACGAATGCTTTATGTTCATCCTTTTCAACTACAATTCCCCTAAGATAACAATATCCAACATTACATGTCCCATTAGCGTTCCCCATCTCGGCAGATTTTTGATAATAAATGAATGCCTTATGTTCATCCTTTTCAACTCCAATTCCATTATGATAACAATATCCAACATTACATGTTCCATTAGCGTTCCCCATCTCAGCAGATTTTTGAAAATAAATGAATGCCTTATGTTCATCCTTTTCAACTCCAAATCCATTCCGATAACAATATCCAACCATATTTGTTCCATCAGCATGACCCATTTCTGCAGATTTTTGATAATAAATGAATGCCTTATGTTCATCCTTTTTAATTCCAACTCCAATTCGATAACATTCTCCAAGTGCAACTGTTCCATCAACATATCCCATCTCGGCTGATTTTTGATAATAAATAAATGCCTTATGTTCATCCTTTTCGACTCCAATTCCAATTCGATAACATTCTCCAAGTGCAGCAGTTCCATCAACATCTCCCATCTTGGCTAATTTTTGATAATAAATAAATGCCTGATATTCATCCTTTTCAACTCCAATTCCAATTCGATAACAGTTTCCATGTGCAAATATTCCATTAGTATGCCCCATCTCTGCAGATTTTTGATAATAAATGAAGGCCTTACGTTCATCCTTTTCAACCCCAATTCCATCCGCATAACAGTTTCCAAGTGCAAATATTCCATCAGCATACCCCATCTCTGCAGATTTTTGATAATAAATGAAAGCTTTATGTTCATCCTTTTCTACCCCAATTCCATCCTCATAACAGTTGCCAAGTGCAAATATTCCAACAGCGTCCCCCATCTCATCAGATTTTTGATAATAAACGAATGCCTTATGTTCATCCTTTTCAACTCCAATTCCATAATGATAACAATATCCAACATTATGTGTCCCATCAGCGTTCCCCATTTCTGCAGATTTTTGATAATAAATGAATGCCTTATATTCATCCTTTTCAACTCCAATCCCATTTCGATAACAATATCCAACATTATTTGTTCCATTGGAATCCCTCATCTCTGCAGATTTTTGATAATAAGTAAACGCCTTAAGTTCATCCTTTTCAACTCCAACTCCATCACTATAACAATTTCCAACATTATTTGTTCCATTAGCATCCCCCATCTCTGCAGATTTTTGATAATGAATGAATGCATTATGTTTATCCTTTTCAACTCCAATTCCATTCTGATAACAATATCCAACCATATTTGTTCCATCAGCAATTCCCATCTCTGCAGACTTTTGATAATAAGTGAACGCTTTATGTTCATCCTTTTCAACTCCAATTCCATCTCGATAACAAGATCCAACATTATATGTTCCAATGGCATGTCCCTTCTCTGCGCATTTTTGATTATATATAAAATACTTGTATTCATTCTTTCCAACTCCTCTTCCATAATAATAGCATTGTCCAACCTGAAATATTCCTTCAATATTACCCACATCAGCAGATTTTTGGTAATAAAAAAATGCCTTACGTTCATCCTTTTCAACTCCAATTCCATGTTTATAACAATATCCAACACAATATGTTCCACTAGCGTGCCTCAGCTTTGCTGATCTTTGAAAATAAATGAATGCCTTATGTTCATTCTTTTCAACTCCGGTTCCATAATAATAGCATTTCCCAACTTTATATATTCCCTTAACATTACCCATATTAGCTGATTTTTGGTAATAAATGAATGCCTTATGTTCATTCTTTTCAATTCCGATTCCATAATAATAGCATTTCCCAATTTTATATATTCCTTTAACATTACCCATATTAGCTGATTTTTGGTAATTAATGAATGCTTTGTGTTCATCCCTTTCTAAACCTATCCCATGTTTATAATTGTATCCAAGGCTATAAGGGTCTAAATCAGTTGGTTTTTTATAACGAAACAATTTATTATAAATCTTTTTCATTTTTTAATTATGTACTATCGTTTTATAATCTTGTATCACTATGAGTGGTACAACTTATTATATAGGATTCTATCCAAAGACTTTAATTTGGGTTATATCACTTAGAATTCTGAAGTTGATTTTACGTTACTCAAGTTTTTCGTTATTTTGTAGATTCTGGACTGAGAGTTAGAGTTTCTAAGTCGGAATTCACTTAATATAAACCATTTATAAATAATAATTTGCAACAGCAAGGCGTTATTAAGTCGATCGTTGCTTATAACTGTTACATCGCTCGAAACAAATTTTAAAATTGACCAATAAAATTTCCAATTCAGGTGTTACGATATTAAGATGATAGTTGGGGATTAATTTAGTATGAAAATATATTCGTTAAGATCTGCAAGTATGAATAGTGAATTGCGGCTTGATGATCGAGCACGATGTTATGGGCATGAAATGAGTTAGTCAATAATCGATTTTGTTGATCGATCAAATGGTTGAAATTTGATCGATCTAGAAAATTCATACAGTAAAAAAAAAAAATTTACAGGCATCGCCATGGTAAAGTAGACACAAGTAACCTGAGCAAGATCTACGTATCAACTTGATTACGACTATTACTATTCAGATTACTCGGGCTACTTAAGTCATTAAAGTAACTCTGTTTTTAGAGCAGATGGAGCTCGGGTCAATCTCTAGGCAGATATAATATACGTAATTGATCAATGATTAATCCAATAATTGTTCGATCATACTCGATTAAACATATATTATATGACTATTGCAAATTAGAGTTATAATAATTTTATTATAATATAATTTATTGTAATATTCTGTTACAAAAATTGCGCATTACAGTGATACAGTATATGTATGTACAGTAGTTAAATTTAAATAATCCTGTTATAGAACTTACTATTTTGCGGGACACTTAAACCCAGTGATCGACAATCACATGATAAACGTCATTTGTTTACCAGAACTAAACAAACTAGCCTACCCTAACCTAGGCCGAGTGATTGTCATGTTATACTGCGATGATCACTGGGTTCAGTGCAGGGACGTGGAAAAATT